TTGTTGTCTTCGAAACCGTGTTTTTTGAATACATTGGACTTCGAACTCGCATTTGAGTTATAAATAAACACTTGGCTTTATTTCCATCATTTTAGTTGATACGTGACGACAGCACGTTTCGGGCATAAAGCCCCTCATAAGCCAACTAAAAAATATACAATTTTTTAAAAAGTTTACATAAAATATCTTACAACCATAATTAAAATATCGTATGTTTCTTACCATATTCGATTTTAATGTATACAAGGTCTTAATTGGTACACCCAACTTATTTTGCAATAAGTGAAGTAATTTCATTAAAGATTTGACAGTATTCAGGAGTTTTTGTATATTTGACAATATCCAGGAGTTTTATACATATTCACATGCATATCATTAGATAGAAACAGACATTTTGTTACACTATTCTTTTTTAACCTGCATTTTTAACTTTATACATTAAAATTTACATACTTTAAATATATTTCAGTATAAGAATATTGAAATAAAATTTATTAATTTATTATGCACAGTATGCAGTATGTAATGCAGGTTAAAAAAGAATAGTGTAACAAAATGTCTGTTTCTATCTTGTGATATGCATGTGAATATGTATAAAACTCCTGGATATTGTCAAATATACAAAAACTCCTGAATACTGTCAAATCTTTAATGAAATTACTTCACTTATTGCAAAATAAGTTGGGTGTACCAATTAAGACCTTGTATACATTAAAATCGAATATGGTAAGAAACATACGATATTTTAATTATGGTTGTAAGATATTTTATGTAAACTTTTTAAAAAATTGTATATTTTTTAGTTGACTGATGAGGGCTTTATGCCCGAAACGTGCTGTCATCACGTATCAACTAAAATGATGGAAATAAAGGCAAGTTTTTATTTATAACTCAAATGTGAGTTCGAAGTCCATTATAATTATTATTATTTCAAATATATGATAAATTTCAATACAGTAAAATTTCTCAAATGTCTATAACTCAAATATTTCTCTAACTTGTAGAAAATGAAGCACTTGGTAGGTCTCAATGGAACAGCAGGAAATTCAAGTTGGAGATTTAACATCTCCAACTTGAATTTTCTCCGTTGAAGATTTTCATAGTCCCCTGATACCAATTTATATTGCTTTAATTTCCCTGACTCAAATTTTAATATTTATTCTATTCAAAGTGATCCGAATTATTGGATTCCATGAAATTTTTACACAGTTAATTTTATCTACGGTCCAATACCCATTTGCAGACAATGTTTCAGTCCAAACTAAGAGAACCTCTCACTTTATCTCAGCAAAATGTACCTGTAAAACTGTTTGATTTCATTGAACATTTTGCTGAAAGGTGTTACGCAGGCTGTTTAAAACAAAAAACTATCAAAGATTCTTTCTACATAATATAACTGAAGTAGAAATACAAGGTCTGTTCAAAAAGTATCGGACATTTTTTTTCCGCGTAAACCAATGATGCGTGAGAGGCCTCCTTCGGTGGAGTTGTGGAGGGGACAGTCATGCAGAGCCCTGAATTTTTTCCCGCCTCCAGGAAGCGTCAGTCGTTGGCAATCGGCCTATGAGTGAGGTCATGTAGTGCGCTCTCGTCGGATTCCATTAAGCTGGAAAATGACTGAACAACGTGAGCAGCGATATTACATCAAATTTTGCCAAAAACCTTGGTGATACCCGAGTGTAAACCATTCGCAAGATTCAGCAGGCTTTTGGAGACGATCCTCGAGGCCAAAAAAAAGCGCGGCAGGTCCGCAGCAATATCAAAGGTCATGTTGACAGTTTTTTCGACTCTCGTGGGGTGGTGTGTTGTGAGTACGCACCGCAAGGCCAAACCATCGCAAAGGAGTACTACCAGGACATCCTTCGTCGTCTTTCCGATACAGTGCGACGCAAACAACCGGATCTGTGGTCAATCAAAACTTGGCAGCTCCATTGTGATAATGCATCCGCCCATTCTGCGCATCTGATTCGGGCTTTCGTCGCCAAACACAATACTCCTGTGGTTCGTCACGCTCCGTACTCTCTCCACATGGCTCCGTGTGACCTTTGGCTATTTCCCAAGCTGAAAATGCCGCTAAAAGGAACCCGAATTTAGTCGAGAGAAGACATCGTGCGGAATGCGACGGACCGGCTGATGCCCATTCCAAAAGATGCGTTCCAGCAGTGTTTCCAGCAATGGCAGGAACGCTGGGAGAAGTGTATACATTACCAAGGAGACTACTTTGAAGGG